ACAACTTGCGACGTGGTGCAGTTGTGAATGTTGAGGGGATTTAGGATGAAAATTAGATTTTTGCTTAAATCCGGCACTTTTATATTTGTTCACACACATTTGTTCATTAATGTGCATTATCGCTATCTAATACAAATAAAAATCATTGTTTGTTGTTGTTGTTCGAGTAATACTTCCTCTCTGCCAATAGTACACTTCCACTGTCTCAATAATCACCATACAGAAAACAAATCTATAGTTAATTATACAGTTAAAAGTCATTCATGTCAGATTTGTCAGACGTTTGTTTATTTAGATAGTGCTTAATCTTCAAATGTTTGTTCACAATTTAGTCGTATATTTTGTTTAATGGTTGGATCATGTGAGAACTGTGTCTAACTCACCTTACATGAAATACAGAAGTGAGATTTACAGCCCACGCTATGAATCAGTCAAGGACGGCATGCTTTCCAGATACAATTTTTTGGTGAGAGCCAAATCCTATAATGCTGTAAGTCTTTGGGGAAACCTGTCCCACGGCTGTTGTTTAAAAGCAAGGCATTCCTGGTTTAGGGGAAGTGTGTTTGTGCCTGTTTGGCAGACTGTTGCCAGACAACTCTGAGAAACTTGTTGAGATTGTCTGTAATCGTCAACAAAATAATAGTAGCACTTAAAAGCATATGTCCTCCACTGTTAAAGCTGTGTTGTCCTTTTGTAGCAGAACTCTTAAGTAAACTCACTTTTCACAAACTTTCCCTTCTCAGTCAGTTCAACTCAACGTTGTTCTAAAAGTAATGATGCGTTTGACATTTTTCCCCTGTCTGCCGATAAAGACACTACTAAAGATAGTATTTAAACAATAGTAATTTGAGCAGTTAAGGTAAAGGCATACAGTACTTTAATGTCTCTGTTGGGAAATGTGTCTTCTGCGTTTGACCTAGCTGAGAAGCGAGAGTGCTAACCACTCAGCCACCATGCCGCTCACAGAAATACTTAAAGTGAATAAACAAGTTTCTTGATTATTTATTTTTACGGTACATTTGTAATTATTTCAGAATAACTTGAATAGGTGAATTTATTTTCCAAAAAGAGCATTTATTAGTAATTTCTGCAGTATAGTTTTTTTTTTTTTTTGGTCTCAACATTTAGTTTGAAATTCAGTAACAACACAAGTTCATTGTTCTCCTTTTGATAATAACAAACTCTGCCAGAATCTTCCATCTGTAAAACTGTGTGGACCGACAAACGTATGTCATCTTTTCATTTCATCCACCCCAGTCTTTAATGTGGTCTTTATGTGAGACCTCCTCCTGTACGTGCAACCACAGCCCATCCTTTAAACTGTCCGTGTTCTTTACGTCAAACTGGGACAAATCCTACATTTCCTATCTTTTCTGTCTCCGCAAAACACAAGCCACTCTTTTTAATGTTCCAATTTAAAATGTTGTCTATGCTCACAACGAGACAACAAGCACCACAAACGTAACCACAACCCAAACCACCACAGACCTGCCAGCGACCGCGATACATTTTTTACCAGTTCTGTTCAAATCCAGAGAAGTGATCAGGGAGGTTTTCTGCAGTCACTTTTGGAGGATTACTTTTTATTATTACTTACTGTTTTAGTTTCACTTTCCAGCACCGTGGCTTGTATCTGAAAGCCTGCTTTGATTGTGTTTACTGTTTAGAAAGTCATCTTGTTTAACTTAGCCTCCTCACATTTCAGCAGGGCTGCACAACAAGCGGACTGTTGCTCAATCGTGTCCTTTTGAGAGACCAGAGAAAACATTTCCCAACATGCGTAAACAAATAGCGGACAAACAAGTTTAAACAGATTTAAAAGTGATCATTGGCTTTAAGTGGTCTTCTTGTGGCCAGACGCTGTATCATTCTGGTGTCTGCATTCTATAAACACTCAGGATCGGCCGATATGATACCCGTTTATAGTCGATATTCATTTGCAGTAAAAGTGTCAAAAAGTTTAATAATATTTAATACTTAACTTTATTTGCATTATATTTGTCCATTAAATTTAATCTAGAATCTAATATATTCCTGAAGTTGGAAATTTATCGCGATGCATGTATCAAAGATAAAATGTGATCTGCGTGTAACTCCATTTTCTTCCACCAGAGGGAGGATGAGATTTATTTATTTTTCCAAATTCAGAAATTCCCAGCTGCAACCACGCCATGTGATCGTAAGGAACATAATTTCACTTTGGAAATTGCCAAAACTAATTCATTTTAATTTAAAGGGCAGAAAACTGCTACAATGATTTCACGCTATTACAGAACTGAGACAGGAGCTTTTAGATTGTTTATGTCTGATGTGAGCGTGGATGGAAAACTCAAAAAAGTTGAATTTTCATAATATAAAAATATAACAAAAAATATAACTGAAAATTGCGGTCACTGAATATACTGCAGAGTTGGGTAAATCTCCTAGGTAACAGATACTGACTTGCGTTTCATGTTTTATCACAATGGGGTATCCTGTATTTCAGTTAATTATAAATGAAATAAACCAAATTAATCTAAACTTGTTTCGGCACAGTACAGTACATACACACAGGCACGAGGATTCATGAGGTCTGGCACAGCTGTGGTTTTTTTGCAGTAGACTAATAAATGTTTGTGTTTCGCTTCGTTGTATAATTATTTTTTGGATCATAGGCTGCACGAGACTCATACTTGGGCCCTAATAAACACCCCCCAAACAGTGAAAATATTCAGGTGTGACCTAAGCCAGCCCTCAAAGTAACCGCTCTGCACATTTTTGCCTATTCACCAAAATGTTCTATTATTTACCCCTGTCCCAAAGCCATTTCGAGTCCAATGGGACCCCTGCCGTTTGTAGTGTTTGCTCTACTGTCTAGACATCTGTGCCAAACTCCACAGACTAAACTTGATGGTCGTTCCCAATATAAACCGCAACACTTTCTACCCCCAATACGCAGATTTGTCATCCTCAAACTGCTCTTTTCTTATATCACAGATTCTGGTCACGTTAGCTGGACTTTTGTGTGTGTTTTAATAGTAATTTGACACCACAAATATTCGGCTTTTCCCTGGAGGGAGTCTGTTTTCAATCTGTGTGTTTGGGAGGGATTGTGTGGACTGAAGTGGCAGCGCGGGTTTCGAGTGCACCAGACTGATCCACAATGAGCGATCAGATAAAACTCAATCACAGGTAATGAAGAAGTTATTGGTGAGGTACGATGGCTTTAGTCGGATCTCTATCTACTATGTCTGGGCTGTTTTATCAACACAGACGGACCAGACCTGCTGTTTTTGATAAAGATCCATTCAAAATGCTCATGAAATCTACAAAAAAATAGAATACAGAAAATGATATTATGTATTCTTACCTCCACCTAGGTCTGTTTGTCTGTGTCTCAATTTGCTATGGGAGTTATGGGAAAAATGTTCAGGAAACACGTACTATAGCCCAGTGAACAGCTGATCGGAGGAGATTCAACAGCCCTCAGCTCGGAAAACTAAAAAAAAAGTTGTCAAATCCTCAACAACAGATCCGAGAATCAAACTGTTCAAACACAGGATATGCAACAATAACAAACATAAAGGAGTCATTGGAGTGGAGTGGAAACAAGGTCCATACATTTTAATAAATGTCCCTTATATTTAAGAACACACCGTAAAATGGTTCTCAAGTGAATCAAATCATTCCAATTCCATAATGTCCTTACACTTTATAAGAATGTTCTATAAGATGTATTTTTTTTTGTTATAAGAAATGTATTCCAACCACAGTGGAGCATTTCAGCAGTGTCAATCTGTGGGAATATTGTAAACTCAAAACAGGATGCAACAGTCTCTGCTCGGTCTGCAGCCCCCGCACCCGCCAACGTTATTAGTTGAATGAATGGATGAAAATACAATTAGGTATACATTTCAAGTGCACTTGTGAGAGGTTAATCCTGGCATCGTAACATAGTCTGTTTCTATAGAAACTGTAAAGGCTCAGACAGAGCAGGGCACGCTGACCTCCTGTTGGTCGTCTCTAAATCTTTAGTGAAGCCCTGAAGCAGCCTTGATCCAGTCTGTTTGTCACTCAGGGTCGATCTGCCTCTAACTCTTTGGGAATCTACAGAATCCAGGCATATTTGTTCACGTTGAGTTTAATGTCTATTTTCTTTTTTTTCTTTTTGTTGAGCAAGATGCCTGTTTTACTCTATCATAGAATTCAGGTGTTATTTATTTTGAATAATATTTAAGTGTACTGTTTTTGAAAGAAAAAACAAAACTCCACACATTTTACATCAGATAATTATTTGTTCAAGATTGGGTCCACAAACTTTGCTTGAAAATGCATTGTTCAAAGTTTCAAAATATGAAATGGGAGTTTGCATGTTCTCCCCATGTCTGCATTTGTTTCCTCTACCACTAAACACATGTACAATAGGAATAGCTGGTGAACATGAGGTTTGGTGCAGCAGCTGTGGCAGTACCACTTCTATCATCAGTGAATGGAAAATACACCAAATTGTAAAGAGCTTTATGTGACCTTGGTCTGTGAAATGCTCTATATAAATAAAGATCACTTACTTTCTTTTCTGGGGGATGAAGAGAATGACAAACAAGGCGGGGTCTGGGGTCGTGTACAGGCACAGAAGACATTTTATTGATGTTATAAAGAGACATGACCAAATATTTTCTGCGTGCATGTGATTTTCATACCATGGAGGAATTGTAGACTGCTGGATTTTTCTGCATATCTGGCAACTTGAGTCAGGGAGAGTGGGAGTTTGCACTACAGTTTTTGGGAAGATTTCTACATACTGCTCCTTTAAGTTTAACCAAAACTGCTTCAAAAGTGGCTACAGAGAAATACACATTTCCTGTTGGATTTGCCCAGCATTTGCAATACATTAACTACTAATTATCAGCATTTTGTCACATGCTAACATTGAATCCAGACCTTATAAACTGTGCTGATATCATGTCCTCGTCATGACTGTTTCACTAACGCCGCTTTTCCCTTGTGCTTTTGTGTTGCAGGGCCGCCTGTAAGTACCACATCCCCTCCATCACTTCCAGCTTGTGTCTGAATGAGGCGCCTGAGCACTTTGACACATGTAGAGGATTCAAAGAGCGTCTTGTCGGCTATAAAAGCAGATTCATTCACGCAAACAAAACTGTCACACTCACCCACTCAAAGCCCACAGACCACCACGCAGCAGCAAGATGCACATGGTCCTCCTGTGATGCGCTAACCTCTGCTAATGCGCCTCGTAAAACCAAATGTGAAGTAGTATTGTTGATATTGCAGCACATAAACACGAAAACAAATGTCGCAACTGGCACCATTATGATTTGTTCCTCTGGTAATTGGGTGACTGCAAACGTGAAAAAGAATATTGAAATATAACGGTTATGGTTACTTTTTTAAGAATGAATATGCACATGTGGCACAGATCAGGTGGTATGCAGAACTGGGCCAGTTGGTGGATGCTCCAGAAATATGTAGCTGGAATGGTGTTTATAGGCAAACTCATTCCAGCAGGTGGCTCTTCCTGAATGTGCCATGAAACAACGCCGATAATCTATTCATGATCGCAACTAAACCTTTCCCCGGTGCTAAAAATTCAAAGCGTAATTTGTTACCTGGGAAGTGCTATGAGGCTGTGAAGCTGTGTGCAAGACGCTAGGCCAGCCGCTGTGACGCTTGTTTGAATATGTTAAAGGAGACCTGTTATGCAAATTTACAGTACTTTTTTGAGCTTCTAACCATGTTTCAATGTTGTTCTGTCATCACAAAGAGACCTGGAGGTTTTTTTTTTAGATTCATCCATGTTAGTTTTAAGCACTTCCTTTTAAAAAGCTCCAGTTTCAGTCCTGTAATAGTATGATGTCATTATACCACTGTGACATCACGCTCAGAGCAGTTTTTCACTCTGGTGGTAGCATAGGGAGTTACAGGCAGAAGCCATTTTCACTGCATATTTTATACTTTGGATAATATTTTGTATTTTAAAACATGAAATGACTGGCCAAAAAAAATGCATAATATGTCTTCTTTAGGTAATGATGTGTGTTGTTTTGTACGCTAACCCGTCTAAACTGCTTTGTGCTTTGATGTCTAACCTCACCAGGGCAAGAGTGGACGGGATGGATACCCGGTAAATCTCATTTCTTTTATTTGCCCTATCCCTCTTCTCAGTCTTTTCTTTGTTGAGACTGATTCCTGCTCCACAGCTTGAGTCTGGCTCAATTTTCAAACCATTTTCTCTTTGATTGTGTCTGCTCTGCTGGCTTTTGAGACAATGGCTGTCGTAAAAAAGTACATCACAATCTTACACAGATGTCACCCACAAACATCAACAATAACACTGAAAAGCAATACTGCAAAAGTGTATAGTATTATTTGTCAAAATCTGAGCATAAGACATAGTTTCTAAAATATAATCCGTACATTAAACTGAGAAGAGATGCCCAGACTTCTCTCTCAACCTCCTCCAGCTCATGTCAGGCCCTCTGTGTCCTGGGTCGTCCTTGGAGCCTCAACTAGATTGAATATGCCTGAAACAAACATCCAAAACATGCTCCTCTCAATGTGGAGGAGCAGCAGTCTACTCTGAGCTCCTCCTGTTTGACTCAGCTTCTCACCCTCTAAGGGAGCGCCAAGCGACTCTGTGGAGCAATACATTTTTTTCAGCTATCTTGTTCTTTTAGTCATTCCCCAAAGCTAATGCACTGCAAAAAAATTCAAATATGTGGTAATAATTGTTTGGATCGAGTGGTTCGAGTGATTCAACCGTAATTTGAGTACATTCTGACTGTCATAAAACAAGATTTGCACATTGGGACAAAGCCATAGTCTTATTTAAAGAACTGGAGACATTTCTTGTATATTTCTAAAACATGAGAATTTTGCTTGTCTTATTGACTTTTATTTGTCTCGACAAATCCAATTACTTTGTGTTGAAATGTTGCTGACTGGGAATGGTTAAATACAGCTAAATTTCAAGATCTACGTTGATTTCTACACAGTTGAACTGATCCACACCCCACTGTGTAGCGCCCTCTAGTGGACGCTCTCAGCTCGCCTCATCATGTGTGCGGCACGATGTCTGCCGCCTATTTGTGGTTTAGCTTCATCAAATACTCATCAGTCTAATGGTGTGTTTTTGATCTAGCAAATGGGCTCTTATGAACTCTACGTGTTTTTGTGGACTTTGTAGTTGCCATGACAATCCAAATTGAGATGACAAGTAATATATTTCAACCTGAGTCTGCAAAAAGCTAAGCAGTACATGTGTATTTGTATGTCTGTATTTATTTATTGCAGAGGATGTGTCATATCTTGTACCAGAACTCACTCAAAGAACAGAAGGCAAATCCATTTTATTGATAGATGGATTGATACTTTATTGATCCCCGTAGGAGAAATGCAGGTGTCCAGTAGCAGCAAAAACACATCCATCCACACAAACAAACAAAGTAAATTGATTATTCTAAAAGCCAACAACAGTAATAATAAGCAACAGCCCTTTATGTCACAGCAGCAGAGGTGGGACATCCGCTTAGTTCGAACCATTTTCTCTGCTCTGGTCCAAAGTAAAATGCTGAATGCTTCATTAGCATTTTTCAAAAAGTTACCATTCCTCCAGTGGATTCTCGCCCGATCCGCTTGGTTTGGACCATGAATCCTCTACGTTCCGGTCCGGACCAGTGTAAAACCATGACCACTGCACTGCAGCAACATCTTAGGTGGGAAAAATAAAAATAACATCTGTATAACACAAAACGACCACTGTTTCAGAGCTACTCAGGACTTTCTGCCATTTCCAGCGCATTCAAAAGTAAACTATTATAGTTATTGTGACCAAAAAAATAAAATTAATTGAAAAATACAGACATTTAGTACAACTTAAAGCTGCAGTATGTGATATTTGTCCCCAGATCTTAGGTCAACATGTACAAATCATATTTGACCTTTCCTTAACAACAGCAGTGAAATTATTCTTAAAACACATGATGACATAAAAAGATGCATAAAAAGAATAATAGAACCACTATATTTAAATAAAACCATGTACAACAAATAAGTAGTCGGACGTAATACAAGTGGATTGCATTTGTTATCACTGTTTAGGAGCTACATACGTCACAGGCAGGAAGATTCAACAACAACAGTTGGTTTATTAGACCACTAAGTGTGTATTACGCACTGTCCCTTTAGCACTTTGAACCTGTCACAATAAGCACTTTTGACTTCACATGAAGTAAAATGCTCTTATTTTAAATACAAATCATTTCCTCTAAGATTTGGTCTGTAGGCAGGAAAAACCTAATATTTATAAATACAGCTTTTATTTGTTTCAGCCAAGTAGTTTAAACTGTTGTCTTTCTCAGAGTTGTTTTCTTTTGTGTGATTGTATCAGACTGAATAATATTATATGTTCGAGTCATGTTCTCAGCTGCAGGGTTGATGGCCCTTCACCTGGTCCAGGTCCCAGGAGGCTGTACAGTCCCAGGCTTAGTCCCATTCGGATCCTCGTCTGCCTGGCACTGCACAGCCCTCCTGACGGGAAATGCCTGCTGCTAATTACACACAGGTGGAGCTCTGCGCACACTTCCAAATATGTCTGTGCGTTTGTGAGTTTGTTTGTCTGTGACTTTATCCGTCTTTATCATTGTCACTGTTGGGAATAGCCCAAGTTATTCATTGTGACATCTGTTGATGAACTAATGCATGAGTGAACACGCTTTAATTGTTTCAATGCCTCACATTTCCTTATGCAACAAATATGAAATTGTGACTTTTGGGGCATGTCTTCATGGTCATTTAAACGTGTAGTAAAATCAGATGTGTGTGTGTGTATGAAGTTACAGAAAAACAACAGTAGATTAATCAAAGTGGCAGTTTGCACATGTTCAGAGATGATCAGATTTCGGCTGCTGAAAGTTTAAAAGCGTCGGGTGCCTTTCGGGTAGCTCTGTTTGTGTATCTATGCCCATACGTGCAGATGGAGAGGCCTGCAGTTTACACGTGTCTCTGTAACAAAGGCCAGAGCTCTTTGTGTACGGGACGGGCACATGAGTCAAACCAGGGTCTGCAGCCATCAGCAGTCTTTAGTCATTAAGTATTATGGCTTACATGTGAAGTTAAGCAGAGAGTGTGTAGTAGTATGTAACATAAACATGGTTGTTGTTGTGTCCTTAGGCCTCTATGCAGTCCTTTCTCAAAGATATTCTTCTTGTATTCAACAGTCACTTATCAATCATTCGCTCTCCTTGCACCAGATTAAATCAAATTGGACGTTTTGCAAGTTTTCTGCCATTGCAAATGTATCTTTGTGAAATGCATGTTTACATTTTGTGTCAAATTAAACTCCTGAACTGTGAAAAAAAATGCATCCTTGTGTCCGATAATAACACTGTCTTCTGAAAAGCCATATAAGTTCTTGATCTCCTTATTCTGCACTTCCATATTACCAGTAACTTCCCCAAAAAGTCTGCTAAAAAACTATGGCCTGCAATCGATTTTCTTTCATGGTTATTTCATTCTTGAGCTGCTTTTAAAGAACAAAAAATGAGATCACTTGAGAATCAAAGCAAACTGAATTAAATAGTAATGAATCTCTTGTTGCATCACATCCTCTTTCTGATTCCAAAAGTTGAAATCCTTACAAACAAATATGGATGACATGTGAGTATCCGCTTTTGTAATTTTCTGTTTGCGTGCCGTGATTGAGCCTCAGGTGGTCTTCACGTGTCTCAGGGGCGTTAGGTTAATCAGACTTATGCATGCAGCCGCCCCCCACGACAAGGAGAATAGTAATATGATAAACAGCACTAATGAAGAGCAGTCTCCGGCATATCCTCGTCTGATAAGTGTGTTTTTTCCCCTCGTTTAACCTCGTCACTTCTTCCTATCATCAATCACACACACGCACTTTGTGTTTCAGAAAATTAGCCTTCCTCTGTCAAACAGTCTGCCCCTCACTATTGACTCTCATTCATTTGGAACATGCCCGATCACTGCTTATGTTTACAATAGTGC